TCCTCAAACATTGTTCACTTCATATACTAATATAGTACATTTATACGGACATCTAGAATAAAACATTATGTAAACCTATATACAAAGTTATCTAATCCTCATAAAATTTATCATGGAGTTTTCATTCTCAAAGAGCAAACACATATTGCATCAGATACTAATAGCTACTAATAGGAAATCAAACCAAGTTAACACTAAATACTAAAACTATTAATTAAGATGAGGTGGCAGATACTGCCCTGACATAGTGGGGCATAGAATATAGGTACAGTATAGAATGATACATCTACAAGCAGCTTGGCAGAATATGCAACTTACTAATTGCCAAAGAGGAAAGTATTCTTAGTTGAAAATTCACAGCAGTATTGTTTCATATTTATGAGCTGATATTACATTAGATTACAATTGTTCATTGAACATGAATCAAAATTTGACAGTAGAATATATATCTTTTTTTATGAATTTTGTTTGTACCAAAAATGATCAAAATATGCTGAAGAATGTACTTTTCAAGACTAAAACTGAAACAAATAGAGCGCACCTTCCAGTGTCCACTCATCAGGCACATTTTACTCAAATCCCAAAACATTTGATATACAGATAGTAAAATCATTGGATCGTGGGACGGTGAAGTGTTCCACTTACAAAGGTGTTCCTTATGATTTGTTTCCCTTGACAGGTTCTACTATATATCATTCTATAGAAGATCACATAAGATAAACAAGATTAATCCTGAGGATATTAAGAAGAGAAATTATGTTTGATCTTAAGATTTCACTCCCACATTGGAACTAAAAGTCGAGGCAGCCAATCCAGAGACATTAAATCATAAATATGACAAATATGATAGAGTTAATCCTGGTATGCTTATAAATTTTAATTAAAATTATACCAAAGCCAAAATGAATCAGAAACCTATAGTCTCTTTTAGCCAAAACAACATATTACTTAATTATGTCCCTGTCAAGTCCGTGTTCATGAAGTGTATTGTAATCTGATATTAATATAAGCTAATGAATAATATGTGTTTCAATGAACGTTAATGATGCTACCTACTCGTCATAAAATCATAGTCGTATTCATAGTCACCAACCAAAGGCTAAACAGATGAACAAGTAAAGTCTAATGATAAATCCAACAGATTGCTGTATTGCCTTCCGTGATGTCTAATGGAAGCTAGTGATTCTTGATAATGGAATGATGACTAGAATGCAAGTGTTAGAGCACATAATGGAAACTAAAATGAGAAAACTGGCATAAATATGACATGTGATATATAGTTTATATTCCTAATGATTTAGACAATGAGTACCACACCGTCAGGTTTCACATACTAGTATTTACCTACCACCTAAATGTTTGAACAGTCCTAACAAAAACAATGCGAACAGGAGTGGCACCTAGGCTCACTTACTTGATTAATTTATTAAGTCATCAAGAGAAAAGATGATACATCACTGTCTCTCTGCACTACGGTTTCCAACTATGAATAACATAGTGTGGAGGAGTAATAAAGTTGATCAAAATGAATCTCTCTTGCTGAGCGTACACATACTACAGGTTCTCTCTAAAGTTCAGCATTTGATATCCTACTTCATTTTTTACAATAATTTCTCCCCAAGGAACAATAATTACACACATTGTGCCTATTTGATATTTCCCAAAAGTTAGCTTACTATTTAAATGAGATGTTCAAATTGGGTTATTAACATAAATGCTGCAATGAAAATGCAAAAATTGTTGATAAGAGTGAAAAGTGCTCAGTTTTTAATGATGTGCCACATATTCAAAGTAAAAGACACATAATAAAAAACAAGTGAATGAATAGTCATAAAAAACACTGCTTTCCGATAATTGATTGCATGAGGCATTGTTGCGCATCATTGTGACAATTCAATAGTAATTGATAATCTATTACTAAATAATGACAGAAAAATACTTTTCTGCAATGTTCATAATGTTGAAAGTTACACCAATGTCACAAATGATGTGAACCAAAATCACATGATACAATAAAAAAAGTTCTTACCTCATAAATAAATTACTCGTAATAACATAATTTAATGACAGTTCTCAAGTCTTCCATTGGAAGTTACTTTGAATTAAAGTGTCGAAATAATTTGGGGAATTGAAACTTCAGCAAATGTGTATGCACACATGACAAAAGGAAAAGACAAATAACTGTTAGAAAGAAAGAAGAGCAAGGAAGTTCTGTGGTTTCTTTTGAATAAGGTAATGGTTTCAAGTTTGACAGATAATCTCATTAACTCAAGTGCCCAAAAGACATTTAGAGTCTCCGATCCTAAACTGGCTAATGTAGAAAAAGCAAAAGTTAACTCTAATGTGGCTTAGCTCATCTAAGTAACCCATAAGGCCACAAATCAGGAAAACTGGGGTAATGATGAATAAGTCCTAATACAGAATTGGAAAACGAATAACAGATCATTTCCTAATGCCTATAATGGAATAAACTCCGTATGAGAAGTATCATAACTATTGTCCAAACCTTTTAATATCATCTTGGGGAAATGCAAAATGCATTTAAAGTAATTAGACAATTGCGCTATGAAATATAAAGTAGGCATTACTCATGTTTTTGTATAAATCTTCTAACTAGGGTCAATACCATTTGTCAAAAGGTTCCACATAAAACCAATATACTAATAAGATTTTATTGATATTGGCTACTGATGGAATACTAAATAGAATTTTGATAGGCCCATCAACTCTCATAAACGACAATTCAGCCCCTGACGTCACTTCAAGTTACAGTCGTCACTTCTGTTTTCACTTACTGTCAAATTGCACACTCCAAATGATTCAATCACATTGGCATTATCATCAACTCACATTTGAAAAGTACTTAACTTTATGCTATGATAAGCTTTTGGCACGTATAAATTTATTACTATGTCACATGTAATATAATCAGGTATATTTCAAATTGTCTTTAGCTAATTTAGACTTTATAAAGTGTCAAAGATGGATTTTCTGACATGTGATAGTGTGCATATGGTTGGCTAATGACATTTTTGGATATTCTAAAAACAATTTCTTTAACAAAATACCCTAATAGTTCTGCATATTGTAAAACAACATACTCCAAACCAATTAGAATCAATATATCTAATTAATTGAAATATCATTCAATAATACAGCAATTTATACACATAGGTATATTAAAAACCTCTACAAGATTACCTGATCCAGGTTTCAAACAAGCCATTAAAGGACCAATATCTCATGATTCCAGAGACACACACACTCAAGTTGATTAACAAAAACAACTGTTGGCTGCAATTACAACTGTCAAAGATGGGAAGCATAAATTCGAATGTTGTTCTTTAGATGATGTAAAACAAATTAATGGCAACTAAGAGGCTTAAGGGGAGAATAAATCATAGTGTTGTAGAGGTAGGATACTATAACTAGAAAATAGTAACTCCTTGGGGAAACAAAACCCAACAAACACATAGTATTATGGGCTATTCCTTTCCAAATAATTTCTCATTACAAATAACAGCTCTTTACATAAATGTGATATACGTTTAACTTGAATCAGTTATTGAGTCTCAAGGGTGTTGCAAATCCCAAATATTTTGTCAATTGGCAGACAGTTTTTTCACTGTCAGGACTTCGTAGCTCTCATTTTTAAGAACACCATTTAACATTATATATTTGTTGCCTTAAGTTTGGCACTGGTGTTCCTCGATCTCCAACACCTCACTACATTACACTACATTAAGCCTATAACAATCTGACCTGGCCTCTAACCAGAATCAGTTTGACACAGCCCACAAGGGGACCGACATGGATGTTGTCCCCACTACATATATCTCAATCTTCAAATTAACTTTCAGATGGAACTTTTATACTCACCCCATAATTAAACTGAAGGGCATATGCCAATAAAACATGAATGATATTGAACAACTATTTTTTGTTATCATCTACTTGATGGATGGATTGGGCATTCTCAATATCCCATGTACTCCTTTAATGGGATAATAAAATACATTTGGGTGTTGTAAATAATCACTTCTCTAAATGAGGTTCTAAAAATTCTGCCAATAAAGCTAGCCCCACCGGAAATATGATAGTCATCTATGCCAAGTGATGTCACTCAAACAAAGGACAAGTAACATGATAGCGAGAAGATAATTGAGACAGAATAGAATATTTCTTGTTTGGATACTTTAAAATAATTGATGTACACAACTCAAGTTTTTCAGAAATATTTTGTGTTGTTAAGATAAAGATGGGATATGATGTATACACAAAGAGAAAACCAGCAAAGAACTTTCTAAATATATGTTAATGCAAGGCAGCCTTCAGGTCAAGCTTCCAAAGCTTCCAAATCATTACAAAACATAATATACTGTACAGTAAACAATAATATGTAAATAATACTTAAAAGCATTAATAAAAGGTATGGGACAGTATAAGAGCAAATTATCAAACAAACAGCATGCAAAGAACTCTAAAGTTAAATATAAACATGAGAGCACAAGCAAACACATTTGGTTCAAAATGTTTACACAACATGTCTCAAGCCTGGTGCAAAACTTTCAATCTCGTATCAGATTAATTCAATAATCAATCATAAATACATGTATAGAATAATCCATAACACAAACATGGAATTAATGTAGTGGTCAAAGAGAATGTGATCAAGCATATAAAGCTAAGCAAAGATACCATCCAAGATACTGGACATGAACACAAACATGCAACGATGCAATACCATTTCAGATCCCTTAATAAAGGCACAATCAAACCCACGTCAAAACCTCTAAATTGATAGATTTTTAGTTGTTTAAAATAATCCTGACAAAGTTTTGTCTTCTCTCGGGGGCCCATCAAAAAGGTTATAACATATCGCTGATAATCAGAATGTTTTACTTATATGAATGAAAATAGGGCCTAAAATGGTATAGATTCTTGTGTCCAAATCCTACATGCTTTAGTAAACAGGGACAATATACCTACAGCCAAATTGTGAGAGCGCAAACAGTGCGAGTCTTGGGAGTTACCGGCCCTAAAATATAACATGCATATTCAAGAGTTGCTCTAACATGTGCTGATTACTTCAGCTAGGCAATGTGTGTGCGGAATTTGGGGGTTGCTTTGCTTCCCAAAGGCCACAGGAAGGATAGGTTAAGCATGTGATCCAGCGCAGCATAGACAAATATCATAAAGTAACCTACATGTGTAAGCTTTCATAATGCAAGGAAACATCATTAATGCAGCATGCAGTCGCAGAGTGAGTAAATTTGGTTGCCATATTCTCCTGGGGGGTTCACTGTATATAATCCTTGACGGGGATCCTCGGCGCATATGGGGTACCTTTTTGGACATTTGGTATGGCAATGGACCCAAATTTTAGGATCTGGTATGGGAATGCCCCCTCCCCAAATTATGACTTGAGGTATGGCAATCATTGGATTTTTCCACTTTCTGGTATGAGAATGGTCATAGAAAATATGTTACATCACACTTGTGGTATGGCAAATCCTTAATTTGAGGTTGTTTTGGATCGTTTACTCAAAGATCTGCCTTCTTATTGGGGCTTTGGACATTTTGAATGGCCTTGAACTAATATCTGGATAATTGATATGGCATTGGTCTTATACTAGGACATTTGGTATGGCATTGGTCTTTTGGGCGTTATTTTGGTTGGTATGGGAACATATTGATATCTGAGGGTTCAGCCTAGGACCCCCGCCAAATTTTGTATACATGAACCCCCGGCATATTCTGGAGATAACGGCCAAATATGAAATGTACTTTAATATTAGATGAATTAAGATTGGTCAATCTTAAATCTCTCTGATCAAAGAACCTGAAATTAATCACAAAAATGTATTCTCTTTGGATTGTGTTATCATCTTCATTCTAGAAATATGATATCCCCTGTTGTCAAAGATGTGTTTGAACATAATCAAATGAAACACAATTAACTTGGTATAACTATATTTGTAAATTCAGATGATCAAATAAAGTAGATCTGTTATAACCCCAACTGAAATGATATTAGAAAATATTTGGTGCAGTTTTGTCATAATTACGAGTATATCAAGGGAATGAGGACTCAAAAATGACAAATTAAATTAGTTATGCAAAAAGACTCGGCATTACAATCCTGCAAAACAATAATTGCCAACATGTCAAATTCCAACTCCTGCACTTCAAGCTTAACCTTTTCATATCACTTGCTAGAACACCAGAAAATCAATACAAATATTCAATTTTCCTCTTTGAAAAACAAATACTTTTATAATAGAAAAGTGCATCAAAGAACATCCAAGATAACTAATTAATTGAACATAAATAAACACTTCTGGAAGTAAACAATTTTTTTTGTTTTTGTTTGCAAACTTCACCCTGTAAGCAGTAATTAGAAGTTTTGATAATATTCAGTTATAGAAACAGGGATATGTTATTAAGTAAGGCATCAGTATCGATGAAATATTGTAATATGACATAAATTGCCTTCGAATGTTATAACCTGTAACAGTCCTAAGGGAAAAGCTGTCATGTAAACAAATCATAATTGTCTTTACAGAGACTTTTAAATAATTTTCCCAAGGTTGAAAACAACTTTTAATGGAAATTAAAAAACTGTATAATGACCCATATGTTGGGGAAATTGACATGTTTAGGCAAGGGCTCATTTAATACCTGGGGCTTAAGTTGTGTACCAAACGAAACGAAATGACACGACATCCGGGGCTTTGTATGATCTTCATTAGACAATGGTGTATAGAGGGGTCAGTTTTATCAGACCCAGATACCCTTTTCTGTACCGTTTTACAGTTATTTTGCTCTATGGCATTGCAATCCATTCACATCATTAGCTACATAATTAATTAACTTAAATATGATATGTAAATAAGGGTTTATGTAATTTAAGTGGCGATTGTGTTTTCTGCTTAGGTGTGTCACCCTGCTTCGGAAATCCCCATAACAGTCTATGGCCCACGTGATTATGTAGATGAGAAGACCCCATTGGTTTCCCGGCAGAACAATCGCAACAGGCACGGACAATTTTCGTTTTAACTATTGTTTCTGTTTTTACTTACCAATCATCAACATGTGCTGACATATTCGGGTCTGGACTTCATGTCCAAAGGGGGTAACACACACTGTCAGAATAAATTTAAAGTTCTCACACCCCTATGTTTGATTGGCTAATTCAAATGCGATGCAGAAAAAACTGAAAGCCATTTTGCGAACATTCCGGGTATTACGCTCACCCTTGGTTTAGGGTTAATAAAATATAAATATATGATAGAATTAGAGTGTTATAAAGACAGGTTGTCTCAATATATAATCCCGGGTCTATGTATACAGGGAAATAGAAAATTATCATTTGAGTGCTAGAATATGCAGGTTATCACTTACTTTTAGTGATTAATCAATCTTTGAAAAAATTCAAAAGATAAACACATCAACAGTTCTTTAAAAGTGAGGATGCAATTTGAATAGGATATCAGATACGAAATAGTTCTGGAAGAATATCAGTAGATGAAACAAAATCTGATCTTCTTATGATAAAGAGACGAAAACTAATTGGAAAGATTGCCGCAAAATGACTCAGGCTCTCCCGTAAGGATATTCTAATACATTCAATAAGATATGATTTCCCCACTGGTTATTGTTTGACAAGTAACATGAACATAAGACAGGCTATATCTTGTAGTGCAGTGTCACTTTTCTCAACATGGCCTCATATAGGACAGGGGTGATTGCTTTACAATCATTATACCCTGTAGAACTTATTCTTTAATTTGTGACAATGTGACATACAAAATAGAAAGTTTGCTCAGAAAGCCATTTCAGCAGAAAGGAATGTTTGAAACAGCTACATTGCTAATATATTTTATTTTTCATTTTTTATTAAGTAATATACACCCTTGGTTTAGAAGCGGGACCGGCGGGTTCAATAGCGTGACTGGATCAGTTGAACAGTTATTTCTTAATTTAAATTACCCATAGCATTAAGATATCACAGAATTCAAATTTGACATGAGAAAGTAGATGTTAAGCTGGTTATAATGTAATTTAAATTCAATAACCATTTCTGAACCTGGCCTGTCAGACTGTTTAATCAAGCATTTTTGCTGAATATACCAAGGGTTCATGGAGTAATAAAAGAGGAGTTCAAAAACATATAAAATGATCAAAGTATCTAAAATGTGTAATTGGTCCTGATTGAGCAAGGTAATTCATGTATTACAAATCCCTGATAGATATATTTACTTAATTAATTAATTAATTAACAAAGAATAACACGATTAACTGAAGACTGAATGAACTTTTGTTTTTATGTTCTTATGTTTATCTTGCAAGAGTCGATAAAGCAAATGGAGAATAGTAAATTCTGATATTTTGATAGACATAAAAATGTTCACTAGAAATTGGTAGATTTAATCTCGTTTTCTGTTATATTCTAGAATACATTCAGGGAATCATGTGTCATAATGGCTTAAGATTTGAGTCTATGGCAATCCCATCGATAAAATTAGCAAATGATCATGTTTTAAATTATAAGCAAAGTAGCACAAGTTTAGTGTACGTAATTTGCTGGGAAAGAAAACAAAAATATTAAATATATCAATAATTTATAGAGATGTCATTGGTATATTGATGTAAGCACCTGATTTCTGATTGACTATCAGGAATCTGTTGTAAATGCGTGAATCGGCATAGATAAAGCATAACAAGTATGACATTATGAGCAGCTGCTAGCTCTGCTTTTCTCATCACTAGAACTTTCTCTAGGATTTCCAATAGGATATCACCATTGGAGCATAGAGCGTTACGTCTGCTTTCCTACTCAGAAAACATGAAAAATGACTTTTCCAATGGATTATTATGCATAGGTCATCAGATGACTTAATGATGTTTTCATGTGGGAGTTTATCTAAAGGAATCCTGAGGTTTACTTTGGGTATTGGCATGAGAAGTAATGACATCAATCACAGTATGTGGAGTGTCATATTCAGTCAGATTTACACCTCCTTTGCTATACCCCTTTGTCATACCTCCTTTGTCATCCTGTGTATCACTGAGGCGTGATTAATAGTATAAATGGCATATCTATCACATTATCCTAATAGTGATATAATTAATTTCTTAATTTAATGAATGCTCAACTAATTTCTTATAGCTATATTTTTTATCAATGTTAGGAATACAATTAATAAGGTCTGTAGTCATAATGGTTAGAATGAAACTGAAATCATCATGTTAAGACCCTGTGTTAATAATAAACCTCATCAATGATATGCCATGGTTTATTTGAAAACCCTATTTCATGATGGGATTTTCTGAATTATATTTATATATCTCATTTCGAAGGAAAAAAAGCTAAAATCAATGCCATCTATTCAAAGAAGATTATTTTGTTTTGACAATCAGATATAAATTCAGTGAAATAATAAAGATAGCGCTGCATTGCAAGACTTCATCCTGGTCTTGTATACTGTATAATAAAAAATTTCAGAAAAATGTAGATTGTTAGAAATATTAAGTACTAAACATTTGCACTAAATAGCAATAAACTCATTATGCATATTTTCAACATTTTGGCAAAATAAAGACTTCATAGTAGTTCCAATGTATTGACAAGTATTTGATCTTTCATTACAAATCAAAAACAAGTCAAAGAAAGATGGCGAAGTTATTTGTAGGACATGATTCATTCATTTTTATAGAAGTGTTCTCGGTTCAATATTAATGCAAATCAAGATTTGTATCTTATTTGATTGAGTGTGTAAATAATATGTTTCAATGATTAGTCAATCCTTTTCCTTCAAAATTAAGCATAGTGGGCCTTTAATATTATAAATTCAATGCTGAACATGACAGCTTTTCGTATTTATGTATGATTGAATCAGTACCTCAGGAAAGCTAAAAAACATATATGAATGCATATATTTGATAAATCAGCAAGAAGATCGTCTGGTGTCTCATCTGGTTCCCTTTAAAGTGTATAAAAAATTGATGAATTCATGCAAATACTTTTAGCAAAATTACAATGAAAGAACTGATACATGTACTTGAACAAATATATGCACAGTCAGTGATCATAAATGCGTCATCACAAGGGTGCATTGTCAAACATGTGTAGAGTGCATTTATTTGAAATAAGTGCATCAATTTAAGTGCAATATCAAGCAAGTGTATCATTTTAATACATTTATTAGAATTTACTGAATGTATTTTACATATATAAAAAATATGCATCATTTGAAGTGCATTATAAAACATGTGTATCATTTAAAGTGCATTATAAAACATGTGTATCATTTAAAGTGCATTATAAAACATGTGTATCATATAAAGTGCATTATAAAACATGTGTATCATTTAAAGTGCATTATAAAACATGTGTTTCATTAATTAATGTGCTCAACACTATAAAAGTGAATAATGCAACTGTGCTGAAATACAAGTGCATTTAGTAAAGCAGATCTATATTTAAATGTCATATGGGTGCATTAACTTTATATTAGACTGAGTATTATAAAATCAAATGCTAAGTGCTTTTCAATAATAAAAGCGTGTTACTTTTTTATAAATCATAATATAATGAAATATGCAGTGCTATCACCACTATACATATACGAAAACCAAGTCAGAAGTTTGAAGTATTCAATCTTATACCAAAGAATGCATTGCACAGTGAGAGTGCTGCATTATGTATCTATCTACCTTCAGGTTTTGTTTGTATAAAACAATTCTAATATACTGTACATGAAAGGTCATATTTATGTCATAAAGTCCTCAAATCTCTAACTTTTCTTTCATTTTCAAATATTAGAAACTTTTATGAAGTAATCCATAATCTTGCCTTAAGTATCAAAATATTAGTGTCAGGATTCCAAATTGATTCATTCATAAAAGCTTCAGATTAAAAGATGTCACTAGTGTATGTACGTACCATTAGGGTAGGCTGGCATTCTCCTGCTACAGGATTGTACACAAACCTACTACGACAGACACCCTTTTTATTGCGTGATTTCCCACTTCTTTTCACATTGTTTAAATTGTCTAAATATTCTTGTCTTAGTTTTAGGCGTATGTAGTCTAGGAGTCCTATGTTGTCGCCCAGCTGGGGGCTGAAGTAGGGAGAGTCTGTTAAAGATGCCAGGGGGTTAAAACTGGAGTCCTGTTCATCACTGTTCATCTGCCCTGGGAGACTTATTTTGAATCCAAAAAGAGGAACTGAAAATAGCATAATGCTAAACATTAGTGATATATTTTATTATTATCAACATATTTGAATGTGGTTTCACACCGGGGGTTTCACTGGTGTAACACATTTGTTACAAATAAATAGATCATGGTCAAAATACCACTAGCTGATGTTCTATATGAGACAAGAGTTGTAAAAAATCTGTTTATAACAGTGTACATATTCCCCGGGACTTATAAAAGAATTGTAAACTTTAGGGAGATCACCTTGTAATAAATTCAGTATAAGTGGCATTATTTTATATAAATCATTTTAATTAGACTAAAGAGGAACTGTATTCTTGTGGGTTGATTAAAATGATATGAATTTACATACATGTAGTATATGTAAGCATGGACTTTCATCAGGGGCAAACATCAGAGGCTATAACATGTATAATAGAATATGATTTGGGTTCAGCAATTTTTACATTGTTATGATTCTAAAGTAGTGACCCTTTAATAAAATGATAACTCTTAGACTATTTGATTTGATGTAACATTGAAAATATAACAGGTGCAAAGGACACCCGAAATTAAAACTTTTGAATCATTTTAAATATCTCAATTTCAGCTTCCAAAGGTGCCCAGGAGTGCCTTGGATGAGGTGGGGCAAAACTCATACTTTTGATATGAACATAAAATATAACTAACTACTGCGTGTTATTCTCAACAAATGTATGAAGATAATCGCGATGAAAGGTAAGCCTGATAAAGTGCTGTCATCAAAAATATACAGTAAAAAAGAAATTGCAGAACTCGTTGCCCATTAATCATCTGCTCTTGATGATCAACTAAAATGTTACACAATTGATTGTATTAAATTGCCTTTTACTGAAAGTACCTGCAAATGGCAAACTGTTTGACAAAACTGTTAGACTTAGATCTTACATTTCATATTAAAATTGGAGGGCTGATTTATGAACCTAGGGCCAAAATAATTCTGTTTTCTTATGAAAAACCAGTCAGCTAGGCAGACTAAAAAGATCAACATTCCTTCTGCCATTGAAAAGTTGGTCATTCCACTACATTAGCAACTAGAAAAACAGCAACTCCACGGAGTAGCGAAACCCACCAAACAAAACATATTTTGATTATTAGTGGCCATCTTGAAAATTCCTTCTTGAGAGTTTGTTTGTCTCTAGGCATCAACATATAAAATGTAAACCATATCCACCAATAAGTATTTGAGTAATCAAAGATTGCATTCCTTTTTTTATAAAAATGGCAGCCATTTTGAAATTCAGCTGCCATTTTGAAAATCTTTCTAGAACAGAGCTGTGTCCTGGGCATAAGCATATAGAATTTGAACCAAATCCATTCACTGGTATTTGAGATATCAAAGATTATGTTTTTTAATGAAAAATGGCCGCCATTTTGGTACTGTCCCTCAAGGCATCGTCATATCAAGTTTGATTCAAATCAGTTCACAGATATTTGAGTTATTATATTAAAGATTATGTTTTTTTAAGAAATATGGCCACCATTTTAATCACAGACATATTTTTAGATAAAACTTTGAATAATAGTAAGTTTTATCACAGACATATTTTTCGATAAAACTTTTAATAAAAGTAAGTTTTATCACAGACATATTTTTAGATAAAACTTTTAATAATAGTAAGTTTTATCACAGACATAGTAAGTTTTATCACAGACATATTTTTAGATAAAACTTTTGATAATAGTAAGTTTTATCACAGACATATAAGTTAAAACTTTTAATTGAATAATCATAGGAGATGCAAACATTGAAGAAATAGAGCACAAGATGCTTTTTAAAAGATATGTCCATGGGCAGATATGTGAAAATCAATAAGTCAGAGGTTTTAAGGCAATAACAAGTTATTTATCATTTGGTACCATGGGTACCCTTGAACAGAGCAAAGCATTACATTTATGGGCCCAATGATTGTAGGTCATGTAAATATCATTCCAATAAACTATATCATACACTGACTCAATTCCTCAAGAGACACCTACACATATTAGAAATATGATCAAGGTCAAGGTAATATGGGGGAATTTATAGGTCGGCTATAAAACCTTGAAGACAGGGACATGATAAGATGGAACTTGAAGAATCTTAAAAAAATCTTTACATTTAGAGCCCCGAGTATGTTGCAAATGATTGGCATTTAGAACTTCATCTGGGTTTACTTATTCTGACATTTATCACATCTTTCTGTTTCACTAGAAACATGCTGTATACTACAAGTATATCATTAGAGAAATATTGTTTGACATTAGCTCATCTGAGGGGAACAGTTACTGTCATTAAAATGTAATTTATGCCCTTACTGTTGATTCATTACATAATAAGTATTGTATTATATTGTCACTGCCATTAGATATAAGCATGTACAGGTGATATAATCTCTACAAGATTAACGACCCTAATTAGAGGAAATATAAGCTGAGATCAAAACCTTTATATACCCCAAATCTGTGGGCTCTTTTGGATTCCTAAATGTACCCATAATACTCAGCATCTCATGACTTTGAAAAACTAAGATTTTTGTTTCTCATTGTTTAGTTTACCCATTGATGCTTTCTCAATCTTAAGTACTTAGTAATTCAAGAGAAGGGGGTTAATGTGCCATCAAAGCAATGTCCTAACACATCACTCATTACTTTCCTCTTAAGCGCCATTTAAAAAACATTTGGAAATGATCAACTTACAAAATTACACTTTGAGATAATAGATAATGCACACAATATGTCTAGCCTGTACGTTCATCATTTCAATTGATAATATATGGTTTGAAAATGACTTACAAGACAGATACGTTTCATGCCTAAAGCCAGTTCTCTTTTTATGGCACTTTGAAAATTGCTTCCTGTAAGAAATAAACAGGATGTTATCGACCCTTTCGTTCTAGTTATATAAACAAATACATTTGAGGGGGATTTGACTTGAAAGTTATGAACCATTGTAAAATTTCAAAAAGTTGTATTGCAATGGAGGATCTCTGAAGGGCCTCAACTGCACAGTCTAGTAGGAAACATAACATAGAATGCCCAAAATCTAATCTTAAAATGAAACATCCCTGAAAATATGAAATCAAAATTTAAGTATGAAAATCCCAAAATGGCCACCTAACATTTACCTAGAATGACCAATAACTAAAGAGTAATTGAAAGAAACATTATTTGAAACCAATCTGTCAAACAGTTTGCATGAAATGTGTAGACAATTAGACTTTACAGACAACTTTTTAGGATGGAAATTCCAAAATGGCTGCCCTAACATTTACCCAAAATGTTCCAAAACTAATCAGTTCTTAAGATTTTCATATAGAAAAACATCCCTGAAAAATGTAAAATCATTCCAAACAGTTTGTATGGAATGCTTAGACAAGACTTTACAGACAACATATATAAGGATGGAAAATCCAAAATGGCTGCCATAACATTTACCAGGAATGCCCAAAAACTAAACAGTTCTGGATTTTCACACAAAGCAACATCCCTAAAAATTGAAATCAATTTCTCAATTGGAAGGACGAAATGACAACAATGTAGCACTCTTTCAAAGTACAATAGGCCTAACACGATTTAAATCATTCTACAACCAGCTTTATTCCAATGAAAATTAGCCCAAGACATGCATGATTAATAACTGCTTTATGGTCATAATTGCAATGTCTGACCAGGACAACTTGGGATGATATTACCTATGTTAGAACAACACCCCACTTATAATATCAAAAGTAACAACTAATCTGTGTAATTATTTACCAAACTATCATGTACCAAATATAGAGGTAATATAATCCAATTATATTCATTCAATACTTCATCTTTATTTAATTTCATGAAACATGATCGATGTACATGTACATGATTGGACACCTCGAAACGTGACCAGTATGTTCAAATCCTTCACCGTTCACATCTCCCACGTGAATTATATACTGGACTCTCATTTTGTGTTTGATTACAACCTGAACAACTTTCTGTGGCATCATTTCTCTCGCTATACGATATTAGTGACAAACTTTATAATGAGATAAAACTGAATATTTGAAAGAAAAATCACCAACTTGCTATTCTGAACAATTTTGCACAAGTATTTTAGCCAAATTGCGGTCATTAACTCAGTTCATACTTCTACATTTAATGATGAGGACTTGAGAATAAACAAATATTGTCCAGGACATTTCCTTGTACTACGAGCCTTTAAAGACTCATAAATATAAAGGGGGTTCAATACAGAGACACTCTGAGTAGCAATATTTCTTTTAATTGTTTTCTATGAGATAGTAATGATGACATATCAAATGACTTCTGAACTATTAGACTTGGGAAGCATATGAATTGGTTTTTGTTAGAGAGTAAATCAAATACAAAAAAATGGCGCTCAGTAGCATACAGCTGCGTACAATGACTAATATGAGATCATACTATTCTAATATATACCGCTTGAGTCTCTCATACTTAAAAGCAGACAACGAAACTTATAAAATATTTTTTTGTTACAATAGACTATTTTCTATATACAGATGGTTAAATAGATGGCAGCATGTGTGTTGGTAGGGGCTGGAAACATATGGCAAGAGTCACTTTCTTGATTTATACTCAAGTATTTCAATTTTGATTAACATAAAACACCATTAAAATCAAAATATATGATTTTGTTGACATGCTAATTGTGATTTCACATTAACATTGTGATCCTAGTTAGAGTAAATAAATAAACTTTTAAATGTTTTTAACATTGTGTCAATGGTGATTTAGCCTAACCTCTTTCAGAAAATTTGAAAATTTAAAAAACTTGAATAAAGTAAATAACTGTGCTTTAATTAATTAATGCCATTAAATAGAAGAAAATATTGATCTTCAATTGCTAAAAATGCAAATCTCCTAAAAATGTCATCAAACTCGAGACTTCAACGAGATTTCAAAATCATTTGGAAAACCATCCATTACAATGATTACTTGCTGTATATGACATTCAAAATCTGTTTCAATTAACTTTTGTAAATTTT